TGTGCAAAATATTTTTAGCTTATACATGGTCCTACTGGCTGCTTTTATCCATATAGGATTTCATTTTACTTGATTCCAATCAGTTTATTTTCTTTTCCATTTAAATAGACTTTCATCAGGCATCTTCAGTAATTCTTAAGGTATTCTTGAGACTTATTTTTCCTTATTTATACATTCAAAAACTTTTAGAAATCTTCTGTCCTGGCACTTTCAGCAAAGAAAATAAATTCGCTATGCTTGAGTGACGAAAATGAGCCATTGCTTCTATCAAAGATCTACCGATTTCAAAACTTCGTTTCTTGTTATATGGAGTCTTCGTTACAGGTAGGTTATTGAAGATATGAAGACCAGGATGGTGTGGTCTTTTGTATGGTCGCGGTCCCCTTTCGTTGTATATAAGTTGTTTGACATTATTTTCGAAACTTGGTCGTATTGACGGGAAGACCTTGAGGAATACACTTAGTCCGGAGTCCATAGTATGTAAGATAATTTTCATTGGAAGTGAGCCTTGATGATGTCGGCGAAGCGTCTGGGAATATACCTAGTCCACGGTCTGACTTTGGAAATTATCTTGAATACTATGGACTCTGGACCAGGTGGATTCCTCAACGTCTTCCTGCCAATATGATCAAGTTGCGAAAATAAGGTCAAACAAATACTTAAATTTATTATGCCTTATATTTGTATTCTTACATTTATCATCTACTTTACCATTTAAATTTAAGCATATATATAGGCTAAGGACTATTTGGCAATATTAAATTCAGGAACTATACTCAATTTTCTTTGTTGTAATTTATTCATTCAATTTTATCTTAGTCTCTAATGCGCTCTATTGTCCCTACTGAACGCCTTCTTTCTCGGGCTATGCAAGCTGATGGCGTCTCAGACGTTTCAGCCGTCAGCTCTGGTTCTTTCCTTTTCGAGTTACTTAGGTGGTTCAAAGAAGAATTCTTCAGATGGGCCGACAATTTCATATGTAAAGAATGTGGCGTGAGTTATCTTTTTAGATTCATTTTTTGGGGTGTGTATTATAGCGAAAAAATAATGCTATATCTCATTTGAAACTTATATTCTTGATAAAAAAAACCAAATGGTCTGTCTGTTTGTCTGTAACTGCTTAGAATTTGCACATTTCGGTAAGATGATTGGCAGCTACTGAAGATTTACTATCTCCATCGTAAATATTAAAACAGATGTAGCTCTAATTAAACCTGAGTAGCGGTATTTTATATACCACAAATTTTCATATGACCCCTTAATCAAGCCAAATTATTTGCATAAGCGATGGGATAATATTGTTTTAGTTTTTACCTTTAGTGCTCTCTTTATTGCTTTGACTCGGAGATATATCCTTTAATGTTTTAACAACCTTTGCAAAGAGATGGTAGATTTACTATGTAATCAGTTGTATGATTTAAATGCAATAATTTGACCATAGATGCTACCTTTCATAAGATGAATGAGGATCCTGGTCATATTTAGAAGTAGATGTAGAGTTTCTTCACAATAGGCCAATCGAAGAATCGTAAACTTATTTTTACTATAATGTATTGATAATTATACCGGTTAGCTGCAGAAAATTCACCAACATTTTTCGTATATAAGCAGAGTTTCGAGACTACCAGTAGATCAGTTATATGAGATGTCTTCACACCATTTCATATAAGGTGATGAAGGACTGGTAATAGAATTTTCCCACAATGATATGGGTAGAGCTGATATTTCCATTGCATTTCACAGAGCCTTGCTTTTCTAAAAGTTGTTCTCATCCAGAGTGGACTGCAGTTTATACCTCGCATAGGTCTTATCAACACCCCCAGTGGGAGTCGAATACTGACAGTGTAGAATGTAAGCTTAACACGTTAACCGCTCGGCCATATTGCCACGAGTTCCCTTTGATCACATAGCAGATGTGAATTTCAAGGAAGGGCAGGCCCTTTTCCATATCACATTCTTTGGTGGGATCGTCGATGAAGCAAACGTATTTTTGCTATAACAATCGACTACATTACTTATTTTGCGTATAAAAATATAGTTTCGAGAATACTAGTAAATTAGCTATATGAGATGTTTTCATTCTATTTCGTTTAAGGTGATGAACGAAATTGCTTATATGTGAAAAATAAGTAGTGTAGTCGAGTGCTATTGCGAAAATACGTTTGCTTTATCGACACTCCTATAAAAGAATTTAATATGCGAATAGGCCTGAC